AGACACCAGTGGGCAAGCGACTCTTTCCCAACTCAGATACCGGCGGTGGGGACAAAACTCATCCTGGAATACACCAATCGTTAGTTTTTGTTACACTTTATCACGTTAGTGTTGGCAAGTTGCGCTTTATGCAGCCAGTTGTTGACCATAAAAGGAGGCCCGTTTAATGCTGTTGCGCTAAGATAGGAAATGCAGCGGGCTGTGACAGGTTAGTTGAATGGATCTGGAAGTTTGTACCGTGGTAAATCGCGAACGCCCCCTACCCAATTGGCTTCTACTCCCTGCCAGTTGCTGGATACCAGAATGAATTCATTGCGCGCGATTGAGCGGCATTTATAGTACATGTACAGCTGGGAGTGGGAACCTGCTGAAACCTGCTGAAACCTGCTTGGTCGATCCACTCCCACCATGTTGACTGCTTGAATTCAACATCAGACATTGCTTCAGCCTGAATACAGTACTAAGTACCTAGGATCCGAGGTTTGCCGAGTCTCTGAAAATGCATCTGAGGATATCCTGCTACTGCTCAAATGGATGTCGATAGAATCGGCAAGCAAGAGATACGCAGTACGAGTGCCAGCTACGTGTACACAATAATATTAATATACATGTAACATGTAGTTTGATTCTCTCAACGACGCGACGGCATCGCCCGTACCCAGAACATAAGGCCATGCGTTGGCTGATTTGGACTTTTGGGCGTAGCTGACTCCAGGTCTGTTTCAGGATCAGTAGTTTAGAAGTGCATACCACTCACAGCTGACACACTCCAATTCAGAATTATTATTATCATCGGACGGGGTCATGCAGCATGCAGACGGATGTACCACTACCACCATGACCACTAGTACCAGTACATTTCCGCCAGTGACCTCATGCCATGGACACGAAACACTTTGCTTGGTAAGCTTAGACATGCGACAAAGAGACAAAATAATTGATTGCTGGTAGTAGACACGATTTAGATCTACATTGTACTTTGTATCTACAACCCAGTGCATACAAGTCATGTACATATCGGTATAGAGGCAGTGCTTGACACTGGTAACTGCACTCTGAAGTGTGTTATGCCAGTTGCGTAAAGGGTTAGTGTTTAATACATGTATGTGTTATGACTTGTTGCAGTCGGAACAGGCGGGTAGGAATGGGACATTTGGGACACTGGACGCTGTCTGTACTTGGTTGCCAGTACTAGTATGGTCCCTGACTCCCTGGGATTACAGAGGATGGATTTCTGGGCGGGATGAGTATCAAATTCGCCATGCAGATCGTGCCCTTGGCTGGGCGTGGATTACGAAACAGCCCATCAAACGAATAATGGCTGGGCAATGCTTCAGTTGAGCACTTCTAGGGTCATCATTGGTCCCCCAACTCGGCCCAGGGGTGGCTCGGGTACATGCAATTATACATTGTTTACATTTGTATCCGTCAGTCAAGCATGCAACGAAGAACAAGACCTTGTACATGTACTGAAATTCTGTCGTCAATGTGGTAATAGTACCTTGTACAATGTGCAATGTAGGTACAGTGCTCTTGCAAACATCACCTTTCCTGCGAACGCCCTGCAAATCATGGTGTGGTTCTTTCCTGCATGAAAATGTGCACGACTGTACATGTCATGTACATGTACATGTCCATGTATTTGGCAGGCCTGCTCTGTATCTGGCGTTCCGGGGCTAGGCTTACGCTTACGATTGTGTTCCGGGGGAAGCTGTTGTCTTACATACATGTACATGTACATGATTAATGCATTATAGTGCATTTTAAACGTCACACAAATGCACTGTCCACATGTCCCTAGGCCTTGGAACCATCAGATCTGGCATTTATGCGCCACAGCGTTGTCAGGCCGAATGCGATTTGTTGAAGAAAAGAGGAATCTACTTGTACTACGACTCTGCACGTGTTGTAGGGTGCAAGGGCACCAGTGCACCGACGATCATGTGAACCCGATTGAGGATTGAGGAGTCCTGCTGCAGACATCATGCATCCTCGTGGGAGATAACTCCTACTGCGAGATCAGTTTTCTGACTTACAATGTCAATTGTGTGAGTAGTGACAAAGGCTATTCTTCCTTGCCACTCCGCAGTGGGAGCTCCCGATCGTGCCATCCAACACAAAGCTTCACGATGGTCCGCTCTTCATCCTCTTGTTACGCCATAGTGTACACTGAGCAGAGATTATGCAGACATTCCGAACTCAGAACTACGAGAATAAAAGCATTGGATGTCCACCGATAGTCACTTGCGGAGGCAGCATTATCAGATATGTACATGCAGCTACCATGGACTACTGTACAAGCAAGAAGATTTAATTTCGCATTGTCTTTGGCTGGCAAGAATGCTGTCATTCGCAATGTTACTATACAGGGTTACAGTACGGACACACTGCAAAAATACAATGTGTGTATTGTCCTAGTGAAGAGGTGCCCAGCTGAAACTTAGAAAGCCTGTTCGTGGAATGTCCAAGCGGAGTGACTTCGTTTTCGTAATGTTGCCCTGTATCCCAGTCCCAGTGTTGCCTGTCATGGTGATTAGTGTCCCCGTTGGTATGTAGCACACAAAAGGGCCGTTGCGTGAAGGGTGGAAAGGGAGTTCGGTATGCAAAGCTCTCCCGCTGGGATGACAGGGCGCACAGCGCTGCTTTGCCTGTCAAAGGCGCAATCTGCTTGTCAACGCATTTGTCATGTAGAGTAGCAAAACACCAAGGAACTGACAACGCGATGAGCTCTGAGCTTCCAACCTGTCCGCTAACCTCAGTCAATACATGTACCACTGACCAGCTGAACTCTACAGCTACATTGTGTATCATTCAGATTATGTCTACACGCATCACACTCGCACACCATACCCTCACATACCACGTACATGTACATGATATTGTATACAACACACACACACACACACACACACACACACGCATCACACTCGCACACCATACCCTCACATACAATGTACATGTATACAACACACGCACTCACACACACACACACACACACACACACACACACACACACACACACACACACACACTTGTACTGCTTTGCACTTGTTGCTCACTGCCAAAACTGGTCACGTGGGTCTCCCCGGGAGAGGGGAGAGCTAGAGAGACTCCAAAGGAACACACACACACACACACACACACACACACACACACACACACACACACACACACACACCTATACCTTCCTTCGAGACTCACATCTTGCGGTTAGACATAATGATCAAGAGATGTAAGGTAGTTACCAACGAGAGAGAGAGAAAGTCGACTTGTCGGGAAGACGGAAGTTGCGAGAGAGAGAGAGAGAGAGAGAGAGAGAGAGAGAGAGAGAGAGAGAGAGAGAGAGAGAGAGAGAGAGAGAGAGAGAGAGAGAGAGAGAGAGAGAGAGAGCCAAAAAGGCGATAGCAATAATATCTAGTAACGGGCAGGCAGTGTACCAAACTAGCGGTTGCCAGCTATTAGGAAATAACAGGGTGCACCAATTTGTGGAGCAAATGTCTCGGATTGACATAAGTAGTATGCATAAACGTGCTAATAAAGGTGCGTGTAGTAGCAAAGAGAGGAAGGTCGTGCGCTACCTACATGTGCCAGTCATGTAGCTGTAACACAACCACACACACCCCAAGGGATGACGCGTGTACGGACCGTGCCGGACGACAGGGAGACCCCACACGGCCTCATCACAGCCTGTGTTCTCCGCCTTTGCTGAGTTTGCGCCATGCTTGCGTGGACGGCGCCCAAACACAAACTCGCCGAAAGCTCCCCTTCGACTACTGGACTAGGCATAATACTAGTACTGAATACTAGTGTGGCACGTGTGTCAGGAGAACATGCACGGTGGAATTTGTGAGGGTGCGGGACGGAGACGAGGATTTCTGGCCTCGTCAGGATTCGCCCAGTTTAGTTTCCAACTCTTAGCAAGTGTGAGTACACGACATTACCATAAATGTTACATGTGCAGTTGTTTATGATAGAGGTATGATGAGAAACGGCGGTATGTTATAGTCATTGCGGCTTTCTGGAGTCACTGCGATCCGGCTGCATTTGGCAGGCTGGCCGCACGCAGCAAGTCTCATTGCAGCGGTCCACGCTCTCACTGTCTCAGCATTCCAGTCCTCGGAGTCCCTTGGATTCCCTCCCTCCATGTTGTTGCACACACAGACTCCAGTGCGCCAGGCAGCCACAGCACACATGAGGTCATACCCGGTACCCGTAGACTAGACTTGATGCACGTGAAACTATTTCCAAGTCCATCACATAACGTTTCAAACATCAAAGTCCATCATGTGTCATATCGTCCGAAGTATTCGGACCCACACATGGATATAATGTGTTCTATGACTATGACTATGACTCGTGTACATGATCTTGTGCAGCGGGGGGATGCACTGGGCATGGGTCTCCCTACTCGCGATATCACAATGAACACTGAGTGTGTTCACTGGAAGCAAACCTCTTGAGAATCCGCACAACAATTTGTTGTTCCGCGTGCTTTCTGTGCGGGGGAAGATATCAAACTCCTGGCGGCTGCTAAGATGAACGGAACGTGTGCTGAGGCGTCCACTTGAGGTACCACTCCACAATCTATGGAGAACTTTGTAGCACTTTCACCTAGAGGGCCAGGCTTTGTGCCGGAAGATCATTGAAAAGTCGCCCTCAGTCCTCCACGTGCACGCCTGCTGGCCGATGTCATGTGAATCAGCTGCTCGCTGTGAAGGGCCATAACTGTGTTGAGGCCATCGTCTTCAAGACTTTCCACTTTCTGTCTTTGTTCCTGATTGAAAGCCCAATACACTACGACTGTATGCTAAGGCATGTGGCACCAACACCAATACTTGGCAATGGCGAGCGTCTAATGCGTGCGGAGCCCGAACTTCTGTCGGAGCAGGCCGGGTTAGTACGGTTGGCCGCATTGAGTGTTTGTGCTAGTAGACCACGGACGGGGGTAGACTGCAATCGCAGAATCGGGGAAGACCTACAGGCTATACCCTATATCAGCTCTAGTAGTCTGTACAGTACAAATCAGGCCACCACTGGGAGGCTCATCATAGCGGTTTAGTGCTGCAAAGTGACGGTGTGCTGGTGTGTTTCGCCTCATCAATCCTCACACATATTTCGGAACGAAGGAGTCCATTTGTAGCGATAGCAGTACGACCGCCGACATTTGAATGGATTTTACTCGCTGATTTGGAGTTTGCTGGCACCCGCTGCAATATTGGCATTTTGGTAGGCCGACCTGTCCTACGCCAATGTGTTTCATTTTTCAAGTGACGCACTCTCGGCGATTTTGCCTGACTTGCCCAGTGCGGCAGTTGTCATAGCTAGCCAGCCTGCCCGAGTTCCCTATCCCGCTCAGTCAGCAAGGTCTGTGCAGCCAGTAGGCAGTAGCAGCATCGGTGTGTCGATATTCGCACACAGGCTTCAGCCGTAGACGTAGGGTTGCAGCATCATCACTCATTTTGGCAGTCCTACATATGACTGGGAGTAGGAATAGACGGTGAATCTACACTACAATCTACAGTGTGGATTTATATACGGATTCAGACTCACACGTCTGACTGTTTGGTGTAGTGAGGGTGCATGGAACAACTGCACCTGGACTGCTGTCGTCCCATGTAGTACATATGTACCGTGATCTAGCCGGCCACTTTCATTCTATCAGTAAGAAATTTTCTAGTCGGTGGTGATCCTGAAGGTGAAGGCGGAAAGAAGGAGAAGGAGGGGGAGAAGGAGGATTGGTGGAGTTCCTCGCTATCACTATGGACATCATCGTACTGTTTGTTCAGGCGCTGCTCGTCTGCGTTGCGGTTGAAGGTAAGTCAGGTGTTGTAGGAAAATCGGGCATGTTTCTGCTGGCTTTCTATTATTTTATGAAAGCTCGTCAAACTGATCTGCGCGTGTGCCAGTCGACTAATAGTCCACAGCTAGCACACTGTCACCCACCATGTCCACTGAGTCTGTCCTATCCCTGTGACGAGCGGACATGTACTGACTACTGACTACTGTGCAGTCGTTTGTTCGTCGATGTGTATTTTAATGTAATCTGGTAACACGGGGTAACACTGTGCTGTCAGTTGAGCTGATGAGTTTCTAGCGAGCTGTAATTATCTGGTAACATTAGTGTGACCTGAGTGTTGCAGTCATTTCGAGCTGCACTCGCTAGTCGCTTGCATATTGGCGCTCATGTTTGTGTACCTATCAAGTAACTATTATCAGCAGCGACAGTGTGCATGTGCAAAGCATGAGCGGTTCAGTAGCAACCAGGAAAAAGCACTGGTGAAGTCGAGGGTGTGCCTGTGAGTGTGTGTTGTTTTCGCCAAGCTACGGAGCAGCATCACTAGCACTGTGGCAGTAGTGTTTCGACTCACGAAGACGATTTTTTCTAGATCGTGCTGGTACAGATTCTACCTGTAGATCTACTACTCTTCTTTTTCCCGTACGCATATCGGGGGGAATGTTGAAGTGTCCCCGATCTTGATGTGCTGGTGTTTTCCGAGCGGCAGCAGGACACTTCCCTTTCCGCTTCCACGCTTTGCGTTGCAGCTGTAGAAAATGTCAATGTCGCTCTCTCATCGTCTTTCCGGCCGGTATCACTGAGTGCTGGGGTTATGCACTCTTGTTCACTGCTGCACTGCCTTGTTCTGTTTCTACGTATTCGTTGTGTTGCCTGCTTCGTGTCCACATCAACGCATGCAATCACCGTGTGCGCCTTTGGTGGTCCTAAAATATTCCTTGTTGACTGAATCTCCGTCAGAGCCTCACGGGCTACGGGAGACCTGTCAAGGTCGCAGTCCAAATCTATTATTGTACACACCACTACTAGTGAAAGTCAAACCCGCTGCTGCGGCGCCGGGAGATCTCGGACAGTTTTGTTGGTTCGCTGTGCATGTGTTTGACAGAGCGCCTTCCTTGCGATATGCGTTCGTTGTGACTGCTGAGTGTTGTCGGTTTATCCCCTGCCACGGCAAAGGAATGCCTTTTGACGCGACCGATCCGAGACACCAATATCCCTGGAGAAAAATCAGTCTGATTCGGACAGCGGCAGTGTGTATGTCCAAATCTAATAATTGAATTTGAAGAGGCCTCGCAAGAGAGTTTGCTGTTTGACAACAGGGACACGGTCTCTTCTGAACTAAATCAATGTCGCACAGTACATGCAGCCCCTTGCCACTCTGAGTGCGGTTCGGTGTTAGAACAAGTGGGACATCCTTGACCATCCGACCCGGAGTCTGGTACAGTGCTGTGCACTTGCCTGCACGATATTATTTTCTGTGGGTGACAGGAGTTCTCGGCGGCAAGTCGCCGTACACCACATAGATCTACGCGGTGATTGTGCCTTTTTCAGCACACGTAGTCTTGGTCACAGATCTGTGCAATCTGTGAGGCCAGGCTTGAAAACCTCCAGTGGATAGTGGAGACAAGCCATCGTCACCATTGAAAACTCATGACCTCTCCACTTCACAGATGGCTCACTGCATGCACGAATCGACGGCAGAGAGATCGCAGCGCCAGTGAAGAGGGAGAGGAAGTAGGTTCTTGATGGTCTTCTTATCAATCCAAGTTATTCCAAGTCTTCCCGGTGCCGTCATGATGACATGCATTGTTTCAGTGTAGGGCAAATACAGAGGATCAATCAGGTTGCGGATTCGGAACTTTGGAGACAACCTTTGCAAAAATGCTTTCACTGCTTCGACGTGATTAGTGTTGATTCAATGACTTGTGTGCTGTACTAATTATTTTCTTCCATGTCCCCACCGCTGTGACTCGTTAGTTGAACTGACGAGGCGTCGAAGGACCGTTTGTGTCTCACAGGAGACGGCGAACTGGCGCTTGACTGAAGCACTGCACTGGTGATGAGCCGCGGCGCAGGGTCTGTTCCATTTCTGACTTGTGAGGTGATTTGTAGATACAAATGAAGTATGATGTAGACCCGCGCGCCAAGCACGAATTTTTCTATTTTGTGTTCGCAACTCATAAGATATAACGAACTCATCAAGCTGTTCCAGTACACCTGATATTTACTGACTGTGTCGTGAAATGAAAACGATACCTGAGGTCGATTTGTTGGACAAAATGGTATGAGAGTGTCCATGTGCAGTATCCAGGCGATCAACCGGGAGATTCCAAACATCATCGTTGCTTGATGAAGATGCCGGATGTCGACATGTCGGTACCAAATATCTCAGAATGGGTAATATCGGGCTCGCAACTGCGATAAATTTAGCCTACAACAGTCGTAGGTGACGACGGTAACAGCCTATCGATTCATCTGCCTTATCGATCACGTCAGGTTGTTCCAAATAACATACAGCTGCTTCAACGCTTCAGTGCCCTGCCCATACCGCACAGATGCCAAGCTCGACACATGCCGATGTTCTTCCAGTTCCACACAGCTCGAAGACTACGCTGTCATTTGGACTGGCTCTGCATAGCAGTGACTGTTTACAAGTGCAAAGACAAAACTTACTCAGTAAAAGTCTGTGTCTGTCAACATTCCACCACTACTGTACATCACTTGTCAATCAACTGTGCAAAGACAGCCCACTGCGCGCGGCCAGCCAACATCAAACCTACCTGTCCCAGTGCTAGTAGTAGTAGATCTACCAAGTACCAGTGTGACTGTACTCAGTAGTCCAGTTTAGACTTCTTTAGTTTAGTGCCACCTCCTGCCAAGAATCAACAAGATTACTGATTAGATGCAGGTCATCTCACAAGAAATATCCCTGCAGCAGTATGGCTTGTGTTGCTAGTGTAAAATCTACTGTGGCTTGCTCATATGTTTGCTAGCCATGGGCTGTCCTCAGGAAGATCGCATTGTCTTACTAGTGGGGATGGCTCTGTGGTTCGTTTGGGTGTGGCCCCACTCTAATGAAATGTGAAATACTTCTGTACAGACATACTGATTTCGTGTATTGTACTTATGCATGACTGTATAATTATCTATATCTGCAATATAGATAAAGAATTTTACCGACGACACCACATCCGGGCTTTGTACTGGCAAAGAATGATACAAAGTTGTGGTGGCCAGAGCCTGCCCAATAATACTGCTGGTCATTTTAGTTGCCTGATTAGAATAGACATGACATCACACTGCCCCAATGTCCGTATTGTGCCGTGTGCTAATTTCACAGTATTGCCGTGTTTTCCGTGCACGCTCAGCATGCTCCTTTCCGCGCATTGTGGACTTCGAGGACTGTCTATACTCCCACGAGTATGCAGCCAGCTCCGGTTACGACTGGAAGGCGTCGGATCCCAGCTTGGCGAACACTTGGCAGCGCCGGCAGGGAGCAAACCTGCAGGCCAGAGAGATTATGCGCGACCACACCCTGAATGAAACATCAGGTAAGGCAGCGCTCTACTGTAATATCTCAATTTGTATAGAGCCGCTTCAGTAAATAATTGCAGACTTACAGCTGCAGGCATGAAGTAACGAACAAGTCAGTGTTTGCTAAAATATGACTGCTGAATCTCTCTAGCATCAAGATTGCTTTCTTTTTAGCACACATCAGGTGTTTTGGACTGCTTATGGGATGATACCAAAAAGCCTTGTGATAATTATGGGATTTGAATCCTTGAGTCAGGGTTCCATGCATATTCTCGTCTTGCCTATGGCGTGCGGTGTGCAGGTAATTACATGGCGGTGTATCGGTCGGTGGCCAATGCGTCGGTCACCGCAGCCGTGCGCAGAGAGTTTGTATCGCCGGTGTACCAGGCGCCGGACAACTTGGTGGGGTGCAGCCTGTCCTACTGGGTCAAGGCCAATGGATCGCGACCCACAGACCACCTGGAGGTTTCCATCGTACCCTTCCCTCGCAGTGCTGGAGATGCATCCGTTGTCACAAGCTTCAATCCTTCATCAGCGACCAATTGGATAAATCTGCACAGAAGCTTCAGCGTGAACGGTCCCTTCCAGGTACTCTCATATTCCGTTGCTTCTCAAACTGTCATCAAATGCTCCGCTGGGCTGTCCACCCATGACACAATAGAGCGTTCTTGTGCTAGCTTTCATCTGCATGCTGGTTTTGCCCCGCCTAGAGATGGTCCCATCGGGTGCAATTTACCTCATTAAACAGACAGTGTATTATACACAGTGAACAATAGCAGCACGCTGTCTTGACTTTCACTAGTTGATCGTCTCAAATTCCAGTCTAATTCCTTATTTTGTAGACAGGGAGTGTATCATTGATCATGTCATTTGTATCATTGATCAGGCAATGATACATGTAGAGCCGCTAAAACCGCTCGACGTCCTATTTTTTGTGTCCTGTCACCTTACCAGGTCATATTCCGCGCCGAGATGCAACCCAGCACCGCGCGTTCAAATGACTACTTTGCTATCGATGACATCAGCTTCTCAACTGAATGCTGTAAAGGTAAGTGAAATGCAGTCTGTTTGTGCATGCAACCCAGAGAAAGAGGACTAGTAATCTAGCAAAGCATGCATGGGTGTTGAGCACAGATAAATAATCACCACCGTGAGGCTGCATGGAGTTGTGTTTAGATTTCGTTGCGTGTATCTTTTCTATCCACTTTGAATCTATCCAATGCTTTGCTGACATGACGTGTACAGCTACTAGGGTGTAATGTATGTACTATTGGGCCTGCTTTTTCTGACCTGTTCACTGCAGAATGTCAATACACTCCGCGCGTGGACATGGAGTGTGGTCTGCAGGGCTACAACCTCGCACCGGACGGTGCTGTGCCCTGGCTGCTGCGCAACCGCGGCTCTGGCAGTCTGTTCACAGGACCAGTGAGTGATACCACATTTGGCAGTGCTCGAGGTAAGGCTGCGTCCGTGCTATTTGGACTTTCAAAGCGGCTTAGGGATGCCTATCCCCAGTAGTGCTATCTAGTATGATATCAACAGACACTGCAGACTGTTGGGACCTGCACAATTAAACAACACACCTGACATTCTAGTGTCAGATATGCTTGCTGGACTAGCAATGCAACTTCAGCAGAAGACTGAACAAGTTTTGTTCTTCTTTTCCTGTTTTTTCAGGCCATTTCCTGCGTGTTGACTCGCTGAGGCACAAGAACTCGCGGTCTGTGTTCCAGTCGCCCGAGTACAGGCCGACCAGTCAGACAGGCCTGTGCAACGTCAGCTTTGCTTATCACATGAAGGGAGCTGGCATCGGCTCGCTGTCGCTGCTCGTCCGCAACGGCCCGGCCGGTGGCAAACAGATGGTGACGGCATGGTCACGGAGTGGACCGCAGGGGGATGACTGGCTGACTGCCACGGTGCCCGTGAGCTCCTCAACAGCATATCAGGTAAGAGCAAACTACAATGTCTTTCCCTCTTTCAGAACTCCAGCATTTCCAGTTTTGTATACATGTATTTTCACCCTTCAGATTCCCTGATAAGCATCTATTTGCCTTTGGAAAATCAATAAAAAAAAATGAAAAGGGAAAAAAATGAAAAGCCAAATGCACATGGATCCCAGTGGCCATGATACTGTGCTTGCCACCACTCCAGCGTATGCAACAGTGGGTCAGTCCAAATAGCTTTCGACTGCCCTGAGAGTGAGCATGGCACACAAGGACAGAGCTAGAGACACTCGGGCCGGAGCACACTCCTTGACGAGGCGTCGTGTGCCATTGTAATGTTTTGCGTAATTTTCGTTTTCTCGCTCGGTCGTTATGAATGTTGCCACTGCTGAACGATTGTCACATGTTTTCTGTTAACATTTCAATTCTCTGTGTGTGCTCAGCTCCAGTTTGTGGCACAGACAACCTCCGATCCGCGTGGTGACATCGCTCTGGACGACATTGTGATGTCTGAGGGTTGCTGCACAGGATCAGCTAAGCCCATACCTGCACTGCATAGTAAGTCGCATCAACAAAACTCATGTTGCTCACCACACATTATTATGCAATGTAATTAATAACGTGATCTACACTGTATGGACATGGCGTATATACCAAACATAACCTAGAATGTTCTAAAAAAATCCAATTCTTTGTGTGTGTGTATGTTTGCATTCCTCAGCTTGCCGAACGGTGGGATATGACACGCGCGTGGATCGTCGTAACCGGGCCAATGGTCTCTTCCAGTACCTGGATACGACGCTGCAATTTGCCTGCAATGGTACCATCCAGGCATGGAGCATGCACACCACTGGTGCCAGCAACCACTCGCTGAAGATATGGCGTGTTGCCGACCCCTCGCTGAACACATACTATCTTGTCAACCAGGAGGTGATATCTGTGCCTGGACCAGGTTCACACACTGTGCCGTCGGTCAAGAAGATGCAGTTTGAACGAGGCGACTTCATCGGCTGGGAGCATCGGTCTGGCAATGGCCGAATTCTGGGCAGTGACACTTTGAACGATGATGGTGGAGTTCGCTTTGATGACAAACAACTGCAGCAGATACTTATCGATGGAAGACTAGCTTACCAGTTTAGTAAGCACAACCGTCATCGCTACTACAGTTTGGCTGCAATTGTTCTTCCTGATGGAGGTGAGATTAGGATGATGATGATGATGAGTGTTCATTTGAGTTCTTCTGGAGCCATCTTTGAGAAATTCTTAATGTCTAAAAATGTGTTAATGGATGGTGCGTCTATACCTGAACTGTTGTTGCTGCAATCATGTGTTAATGTGCCGAGGACTAGTGCTTTGATGTATCTGAAGCCCCATTTCTTCTATCTACTGTGTCCTTTTCATGCAGTGATTGACTTTCCCACATTCCCGGTGATCCGTAGCACAACACCACTATTCGTCGGGGGTGGCGGTGACACTAGCAGCAGTGCAGACGTGGACAGTCCCATGTCATCCGGACGAAGTAACACCGCTGCTTCGACCTACATGTCGCGCATTCCAACGTCCACCACCGGCATGCCGCTCTCGCGCATCGACCCGTCCGAGCCGGTCTACCCCTGGGTGATCATGGGCCTGGTGCTCTTGGGAATCGTCGTGGTCATGATTATTGTACTGGTGTGCTACCTGCGATCACACCCAAATGCACTGCGCGCAGGCAAGCAGAGTCCGTCTCATCACCGCCAGCACCGTGCAAGTGTGTCCCAGTCCAATGGAAGGCTCGCCAATACCCCTTCTAACCGTGAGTATTTGAGCAGCTATTAAGCAAGACTTTGGTAGCAATTTCCGAACTGATGTTTATTCTTAAAAGACACATACATTTTACCTGCCTTCTATTGTACTATGGTGGCACAGGTAACGTACTATTCTACCAGAGTCATGATGTCATAACTTGTCATGATGTCATAACTTGTGTCATGATGTCATAACTTGTGTGTGCTCCTTTCCACTTGTTGTACAGTGTTCGGTTCTCACCTATGTTTTGTCTTGGCTCTCTTTCACTTGACTAGATGCTTTGAAATTGCCAATGATCAACGGCAGTCCAGTGCACCAGGGTGGCCTCAAGGGTCTGAACAAACAGTTTCCACCAACACCCGTAAGGACAATGAAAATCAGAGTCTGCCATGTTGTCTTTTTTGCACAGATAATTGTGATTAATGCTACATTCTAAAGCAATCTTCCTTGATGAAGCGTTAGCAATTCAATGGCTGTATAAGCCATTTAGTAGGATCATTTGTTTTTTACCAGGCTTGCAAAACACTTACGAGCTGTGGCTGTTAACTCTTCTCTCTTGTCTATTTAGGCCATGCTTGAGCTATGTCCTCCTCTGGCTTGTGAACAAAGGCTTCCATCGCCTGGTTTCATGAACGTACCGACGCCCAGTGTGATGAAGGCCTTTCCCGGCATGAAGATCACACAGTCGGCGGCCAGCTTCTCAATAGTTCCCGAGTATACGGACCCGTCGCCAGAGCTGACTGACTCTTCTTTGGTAAACACCACGCAGGATAACTCTCTGGAGGATTCACAAGGCAGGGATCTACTTGCAAGTGCTGAGCACAGTCGACAGGTATCCAGTGCCACGGACGTATCGGCGCAGCATGCAGACATTGGTTCTCACGACGACATTCTCAGCCGTAGCCCACAAGAGACACCTTCCAAGAAATCCGAATCAACAACGTATACCATCGATACGCAGCCACGTTCTCAATCAGAGGCATCCAATTTCCGTAGCATGAGCAGCCGGCCGCATTCGCGCAATGACGCCTTCATGCATCAGAGCATCGACTCGCCGTTCCGTGTATCAAACCATCGTCGTACCCCATACACTGACCCTGTGGACGTGCTGCCCGGCAAAGTGAGTGAAAGTTGATTTCAGTATTCACACTACCATTCTGCAGTTCAAATTCTAATCTTACTCTCTGGGTACGCACCGAACGTGTATGTTAGATTTAACTAAGCAAGTCCCTAAACTCTTACTTGGAAATGAGGCCATGGGAGAAGAATTCATTTCTTAATCTTAAGTTTGACTGAGTGACATTTCTTTCTTCCATTGTTGCTTCCACAGGCACGCAAGCCTTACCCACGTTACAGCTCCCCCTATCAGGAGCCGGCAGTCACTGTGCCTGGCATCTTTGCACAGCTGAAGAGCGGTGCATACAAATGCCTGCAGCGAAACAAGATTGACGTGCAAACCATGATAGCGCACAGGTGAGCAGTGCAGGATATACAGAAACATGCTGAGACGTGTTGCTGTCAATAGTCCTGGGAGAGGGACGCATGTATATGTATACTCTTTTTAATGTAACTTTTATCCTGTGAGCTGAACAATATTGCCAATCAATTGGTCAATTTTCAACTGATCTATGTTTATGTTGAGGCCTACAGTCATTGCGTTTTAGTCGCCGAGGTGCAGAGAACTTAACTGCTATCCTTGTTGCTGTTGTTTTCTGTTTACAGTCCGCAGTGTGCTGTGTACGCCGGAATTTGGAAAAAGGTGAGTTTCTCCTACTCTTCAGCCTGTGTTGCCTGTTGACCTTCGGCAGTGACTTCACATTCTGCAAACCTGTTGTACAGCAGAGCATTTTAGGCATGCTTCAGAAGCATAGGATACATGTTTTGGTATACATGTACTGAGCTGTATCTTGTTTTCTTTTGACTTTCAGGGAGCGATTGACGTGCCCATTGCCGTGAAGACGGTCTTTCCCAAGAAGGAGGGTGAATATATGCCGTTTCTGCGTGAGGCAACCATCCTTGGCCAGTTCAGTCATCGCAACATTGTCCAACTGTTTGGCGTGGTGATGGACAATAGCGGAAAAGCAGTAAGTGAAAGCTGATCTGAGTACCATATCACGTGGACCGTTGTCTCTGACATGAGCAGTTGATATTTTAGTCCAGGCGTAATGCAATGAATGCATCAGCGTACAGAATGCTAAAATTTAATAGTCTACTTTGCTATACCTGTGTTTTGTTTTCTTGTTACTGCAGCCTCAGTTAATCCTGGAGCTTATGTCTGACACCCTAATAAGCCATCTCAAGTCACTCAGGCCTGTGTAAGTGACGTTATGATGATTGTACCGAGTTGTAAACACCTGTCCCGAAAACAAATCCTGGTGAGCGTTATGACTTGTGCTTGAAAATATATGAAAATTTATTTTCCTTTCTGTGAACTCACTCAATGCTTTCCTTTGTGTTTTTCTGTGCCACAACAGTGGAAACAACTTGCCAGAAGTTGCTGCAGAGCACTTGGGTGAGCAGCAGCTGAACATGTGCCATGACATTGCATCTGGAATGGCCTACCTGGAAGCCAAGGGCTTTGTCCATCGGGTAAGAGTTTCTTTAGAATTGGTCAACGACATTATTTGTTTTCATGGTATTAAATTCTGATGTCATTCCATATTCAATTTCTCACCTGGGGTGTTGGTGTGTGCAAGGGATCAGCAGTCCTTTCTTTTTCCAACCCTGTGTATATCTTTGATGTCTCTGCGTGTTTTTTCACCTTTGACAGGATCTGCAAGCAAAGAATGTCATGATTGGCTCCGACAGGGTCTGCAAGGTATGCACAGCACAACTGGTTTGTGTTTGGCCACAATTGCCAGTAGCACATTGTTCTATTCACAAGCAGCTATTATAGCGAGACAACACATTCTGTCAGCACACATCCACCTAGCTTGCAGCTATTCTTGACTGGCATTTACCACACAGACCTGGTGCCCCGCACAGTGACCATTTACTTTGGCAGAGCGTGTGTGTGGGGGGGGGGGGGGGGGGGGAGGAAAAAGATGTCATGCCATATTGTCGTCAATCTTGAACATCCGCAACAGCTATTCAACTTCTTTCAAGACATTCCAAAGTTGTTTACAATAGAGTCAGGTGTAATGACTATCATTTCAGGTTGTGAAGGCATACCACGTGTAGCCCACAGCAATCACCTGCATGGAAGACCCACTTACGATGTGAATAGCCTTGCTGAGGTTCCTTTTTGGTACGCCTGATCTATTGGTTTGCGGTGCGCAGGTTGGCGACTTCAGCACGTGCAGGGATATGGGCGCACCGGACAGCATTGCGTCATCCAGAACACTGCAAGTCCCAGTCAAATGGGCCGCACCTGAGGTTAGTCGCGTTCATGACTCATACTCTCCGCTCGTGCATACTGCAAAAAAAACATGCACAAGTGTGGCACGGGCATATACACAGCACAAGCCCAGGTTTAACTTGTTTGCACAGTCACATCCCTGGGCAGTAGATGTTGTTGATTGTGCACTGCAGGCTAATAAGTAATACACCACTTTCTATCGCAAATAGTTGTCTAGCTAGCAGAGGGTGCAGCAGGACTCCCTGCCTCAAGTGTGCACTCACAATCCATGACTTTTGCTGCTGTGTTGTTGCTGTGTTGTTTTTCCTCAGGTGCTGAAACACTACAAATTCAGTGCATTCAGTGACGTGTGGAGCTATGGACTACTGTTGTTTGAAATCTGGTCACTTGGCTCAGAGCCCTATGATGACCTGGATAGTGAGAAGGTGAGTAGTATGAATGCTATGCATTTCCTACTGACTGAAGGGTGAACTACACAGTACACCGGCTACATTCTGTCTTTTCTCTATTGCTGATGAAATGGCGTATCTGTATGGGCAGGTCAACACCCGTCCAGGCTGGTACTGGCCGTAACTGTCTGCATGTATCATAGCAAATTGTTCGGCTTCACTGCAACCGGCAACGATGCAGTATCTTATCATCGTGTTCAGGCATAGTTCATGGCTAGCGATCAAGTACCATAGCACCTCTGGTGTTGACCTGTGCTCTGCTCTTCGGCACATTTAAGGACTGGTGGCCTTGCCATTCAAGTCTGACCTGTGAAAACATTCCAGCTGGCCAATTCTACAGTGTCTGTGTCTTAGTCGGAAAGTCACACCACTGAAAGAATTGACTTTTAGCTGTGGTTTCCTCTCGCCTGTTGACTTACCATTGATTGGTTCTTGTTGTGGTATCATTCTTGTGATCTGCAGGTCCTCGAGTATGTCGATAGCGGTAATAGGCAGTCTGCACCATCAAAGTGTCCCATGGCCATGTATGAAATCATGATGGACTGCTGGTAAGCCTTAGACGTTGCATTGCTCAGTGTACATGCACTCGATCTGCTGACTTAGTGCTGTGAGAGCGAGGGAGATAAACAGGAAGTATCCTGGCAAACTCATTATTTCTTCAATTTTCTGGAAAGCAGTTGGCCTCATCATCTGGCCCGTGCTCTGCTCAGTTTTACTCCATCCTCTTGGTTCCTCTCCAGTCTTATCTATATGCAGTGGAGCGTTCTCTCCATCAATCCCGTGTGTGGTCAGTGTCCTTGGCAACTAACTCATATGGCAATCTCAAGGGGCCTAACAATACCAGACAGTCTGGCTGATACGTAATGCTTTGTGCTTCATGGTATGCTTCACCTTTAGGCATCCGTATTCAACGGAGCGGCCATCATTCTCACAGCTGGTACGCATCCTGGAGATGACTGATAGAAATATCCTTCTCGGTCAGATATCCCAGCAAGTAGATGACTGCGTCTATGATGAAGCCGAGGACGTCAAGGATGAGGATGACGACGAGGACGAGGAGCATAAAAGGCTTACACCGGCCGAGCGTATTCAGCGTCGCTACAAGCACTTTCATCACGGCGAGCTGTCGCCGAAGTATATCGTGCCGGACGAGAAGCGTTCAACGCCGTTCTCACGCCAAGGATCAGCAAAGCTCACCAGCCTGCCCAGGCATATGCTGGCTGAGCAGCTGAGCAACCACAGCCAATGCTCCGTCGAGACAGGATCATCATCAGTAACCTCAGTATGACAAAACTCCATAGCATTCATCTCTTTCACAGTCAGGTAGTAATCGACCGGATAGACAGATAAGTTGTAAACAAATAATTCTTAAACCGTGACCATACTTTTTGGTTTAGTTCGATAATACCCCTAAGCATCTACGGCATGATTAAAAGTAAGTTTTGTAATCCCGTAAAGCTATGAACTGTTTGGCTTGTCTGAGCTTTTTTTGTAGACGTAAGTAAGGGTATGTAATTACTAACTGTGCTATGTTTCAATGTATCTTGACTACGCCCACACTTTGATTTTGATGGTAACAAGAACTTTCTCTAATGAAATCGACTCTGCCTCTAATTTTCAATTCAAATATAAAAGTCGTTTCTAACCTAGCGCAGCTGTATCTCTACGTGCAGTGTGCCCAATGTTAAATGCCTCACGAGCAAACCCTATTTATCTCCGAATCAACTTTCAACAGTTATTTTTTCTCTAACGGCCAATTGTGCTGAGCTACAGACTGGCAAATGCCCTCTCAAAAATGATTCTTTTCCGTGTTGAGTGTTCGCAGAATGTTGCATCCGCATATGTGTGTGTGCGTGTGTGTGTGTGTGTGTGTGCGTGCGTGCGTGTCTGCGTGTGTGTGGTCCCATATGGTGCAGTGGTATGTGCAGTCGATTTCCAATCGAGAGGTTGCGGGTTCAATTCCCGACGATTATGGTCGCATACGTCTTTCTTCTCTTTCTCGTACTCTTCCTGACTTTTCTTTCATTCGCCTGGGTGGTTACCAGCCAGTGTATGCCGGAGTATGTGGTGTGGTGTGTGTGTAAAAAAAATGGAAAAATGAAAAATAGGGATTCACTGGCCAGAAAAAGTCACTTCAAACAGCTGTGTGGTGGATACCATGTACCAGGCTAAAAATAGTGGCGGTCAATTCATCAGCCTTGCAAGCTGTTGAATGGTGTAGTCCCAGCACAAGTTGCTATGTCTAACATAGCCGTTTGCTATCATCGCTTCCGCGATGGGCATGTCTGAGGTCTGAGCATGAGGTGTGTGTGGTTGGTGGTGGGGGTGATGGTCCCATACTTTCATGACAGATACTCATTTTTCGCACTGTCTTTGGCTAAGTACCATTGCATGAACAGTGCCGGCAGAAGCAGTTTTCAAGAATTGTTCCGCTTAACGTATTTCCGCAAATAAAAGGCCGTCCTCGTATACAACGCCTTCCTCGTATACAAGGCCGGGGTAGGGGGCGATTGAAAAAATAAAAGACCGTCTCCGATTAGAAGACCGGGCCTGCTAAATGAGTCTTTGTTCTTGTGTTAAAAATAGAAGACCGTGCTCAAACTGTGGGAAAAAATACAAGACCGTGCTCAAACCGTGTAGAAGAAAATGAAGAACGGGGGTAAAACTGTGTGGCGAGAAATAGAAGACCGGGGTCAAACTGGGTTGAAAGAATAAAAGACCGTCCTCGAATACAAGACCATCCTCGATTATAAGGCCGGGTTAGGACGAGGTTGAAAAAATAGTAGACCGGCCTACTATTAATTTTGTGGAAATACGGTTTACCATTTAGTACATTCAGGCACTGTGCATGATATTATGGCAGGTGCACATGACCACCTCACGTGTTCATGGTGTTGGTGGCCAACAGGTTGGTGTGACCATGCCATGGCCTGACCAACCAGACCGGTTCTGCCGGGCCTGAATTCATTGAACTGTCTGGCCATAACCCAGACCTATTGTCAGTAGAATGCTTCCACGAGCTTCTTCCACCTTGCCTCTGCTTGGTGCCAGCATGGCAGCAGTCCCCAAATCAGAAAACCCAAACCGGTATACACGTACTTCTTTGTATAATAATTTACCGCCACATCATAATGCATAAGCAAAACTCCACTATTCAGTCCGGTTTGGGCCATGTCTCGAAATGTAGATCTCCGTACAGGTTGGTATGGGTGCACGCATGGAAAACTTGAAAACTCGATCCCTGATTCCGATGCCTTTGATGTTGAAAGAACGAAAAACAAGTATTAGCTAGTTTTCACTGACGCCGGTGTCCTTCGTCTTCGCGAACTCGAGGTAACAGGTTGACTTCGCTTTGCCGCTACTGAGTATTGCAGCACTGAGTCACTGTTGTAGTTATCATTTTACCCCTCAACACACTAGGCTATCGACTGCGTTTGGTTGTGCTGAACGTGTAACCGTTCGTAGCAGCAACAAAGACTCAGTCAGCAATTACTGAATACTCGTGAAAGATATGGACAGTGTGTATGTTTGTATGGGCGTTCTCCTGTTACTTGGTGCAGTCACCGGGCGGCCAAACCACAAACAACAGCGTGTGGAAGTCCACCATTCTCACAGGGAAGGATCCATCGCAAGAAGGCGCCACGACTCCGCACAATCAGAGCGACGTTATGGAAACGGCAATAATAAGTTGTTCGTGTGCCCTGCCTTCCTTGTGCCAGACCGAGTTGCTGCCCAGAAAGCTATGTTCATGCATGCAGAGGAATGGAAAACAGTTCTGGAACTCATCACTAGCAGTGATGGCGGGTACCATTTCCACGAGTACCAACTATTCAACCTAGCGATTGAGGATGCACAATCTTTTGCTCAGTTCTTCAAGGCACGACCGAACATTACGGTCTCCATCGAAGTAGGAGGATACCTTTGTGATGGGCAAAAATCTGCGCAAAACGCCTTGCAAAACTTGCAAAACTATACTTCGGCTGGAGGCAGGATTGATCAATGGGCACTGGAGTCAATATTCTCACGGACCATGCGCGGATGCGCCGGCAAGATCAAAACGTTCCAGCAAGTGGCGGACCAAGCGGCATTGTATGTTCAGGAGCTGAAGAAAGCAATGCCTCACGTGCAGTTTGGCGTGATTGATGCAGTGCCGCACTTCTCGGCGGGAAAGTATCCTGCAAGCAATCAGACACGCACCAATCTAGGAGACATCCGGGATGCTCTTTCCACACTCAACAAGACGCTAGCTGGCATTGGCACGAAGCTGCAGTTTTACTGGGCTGACTGTCCGTACGAATACAGTGCAGCGTTTGCAGGGAACGTTGGCTATGAGAAGCTAGAGTTCATTGCAAACTATACAACAAATGAGCTGGGCATACGGATGGGCAAGATCTTCAATTCCGAAAAGGGAGGTGAAACATCGAGCAAGATGTTCTATGACCGGTCCTTGGAAGACTACCATAGATACATTGCTACTGGAAATTCAGCTGCATATACAAGTGATGTGATTGCTGAGAGCTGGTACAAATTTCCAGCTGACGTCATTCCGGAGACGGATCCCTACACATTCATGTACACAGCAAAGGCTATTCTCCAGGCAGCCGCTGACCATACACCTCCCCGCTACAATAGACAAATGTTCAGGAAAGGACACCAACTGTGAGCGATTGACGTGGAATTGTGTGATGAATTATTTGTGTCCCTGCGCTCTACTTCGTGTTAGGTACCTCCTCCCGTCCATTGCCTCCTTCTACAACCTTTTCCTGCTGGCCTGCATGCACCCCGTACTTACCCTCACGTACTCACATTGGCCTGGGTAGCTACTTGTGCGTCCATATTTGCCATAGCAACCCTGGCCGTTTAACTAGCTCTCTTTCTCTCTCTCTCTCTCTCTCTCTCTCTCTCTCTTTCATTGTGTAGTCGTTCGCCTTTCTCTCCATCTCCTTAATAAATGTCGTTGTGCCAACTACCTATTCCTTGTTCCATTGTGTCTGGATTTATAGCAGAAGTTGATTTTTCACAGAGGCAGTGGGCTTAGGTTCTGCGAAAGTGCACAATACCTGATTCAGGCAGAGCGGTGTACACAAAGGCACACGTTCGTTGTCTGATGATTGGTTCAGCCATGACACTCTGAGTCGCAACGGAATTTGCCAAGGTTTTGATTGTGTGCCTTTGTGGAGTTGAGGAATTTGCCAAGGTTTTGATTGTGTGCCTTTGTGGAGTTGAGGAATTTGCCAAGGTTTTGATTGTGTGCCTTTGTGGAGTTGAGGAATTTGCCAAGGTTTTGATTGTGTGCCTTTGTGGAGTTGAGTTTTCGACATTTGGAGAGTTGTAGCGACTCGTAAAGTAAGTACAAATTGCACGGCCTGGTTTGGCATCCTGAGTCAGGCCCATGACTGCGGATGCAGGTGCGGCAGTCAAGCGCTCCATGAACTCAGTGCACGCTTAGTGCGGGCAACTGAAATTCGACCCCCTGAGCGGTGCGCTCACATCGCAAAGACACGGCACAGGATTGTAAAATTATGGAATAGAGACCACTAGAATCAGTGCTGCAGTCGAGCACGCAAATCAGGGGTTGGATTTCAGTTGCCATCGGTATAGTTCATGAGTTGACAACCTCTTCCTTCCATAATAATATTATTACTTCAAAATACGATCAACACGTACGAATATACATTTATATGAAAATTAGTCCTAAGAAGTGTAGCGTCACTCCACAATAGAGTTGCCATAGCAAATTACAATTCACAAACCCGAACAACACCATCCTTGGCTTCACTAGATTCTTCAGCTCTGATATCGCTATATTTATATTGTGGAGAGAGCTAGAGAGAGGAGAGATTTTTTTTACAGTTCAATCCAATTTACCACGGTTTAACCATTAATTTTGTTATTCTTGAGTGATCCAATGCTGGCAGTGGAACGGCCCGAAGTCAGATGCTCCTAGCGGATTCGTGTGCGTATTTCTTTTCCGCATTTGATGGAGCCATTTGTCCTTCCTGTGGTTTCGATCTCCCACACACGCTCTATCCACTGTGTATAGTAATACTTGTCTTGTAGCAGTTTGGCACAGTGCACCATTCTCCCACTTTTAGATGACTTTTGGTCAGATGATCTGGATGGTAGGTGTTCATGATAAATTTTTATTGAGCTCAGCATAGTACATAAGTGAGTTTGATGATGCTCAGACTCATCTCTCTTCTTTGAAACCTTTCGCAAAAAAATAGTTCAATACCTGTGCCTGTAGATCTACTGTGGGGAGTCTATAGATCTAGTGGAAGAATAGTCAGAACAGGATTTTCATCTAACACTGGAAATTCTTGCGGAACCTGACCGAACGTATTCCTGTTTTGCCACCGGTCCATATATAGTAAGTTTTAGTGTAGTTCAGTGGTCACAAGACTTGCTGTCAAAATAATGTGTCACGAAATTTTCACGTGATCTGAAAGGGTCGGCGATGATTGTAAAGCTAGCTTGCTTCCCTGTCTCGGCACCGCTATTTGTATAGTGCATCTTTTCAATGACATTCGGACTCGAAGGAAGATTTTTCATTCAATGCTTTACTTGTAGACTGAGTCTATGAGTCATTCTAGATGGTGTCGAAGGAATATTGTTCGTAAATATAGTCGGTCATCAGTTTGAACATTCAGCTGGGACGTAGAGTCTACGTCCCGGACAACAAATTCAATGGAGCGCCTGCTGACACTTTCCCTGGTACATACGGCGATGATTTTCTTCTTGCTCGTCCTGTCCGCTACGATGTGTATGTCTGTGGGTAGAATGGAAGATGCAAACGAAAACAGTGACCCGAGACGCGATCATTTGCATCGCCTTGAATTGACTGCTGGTGCTCATGGTGACCTGCGGCACAAGTCACAAGCGAAGAGATTGCCATGTAGAGCTGCGAGTGAAGAGCGGCAGTTTGCCAACTGCGATAACACTAATATTGACCTCTACAAGTTGTTCGTCTGTCCTGCATTTCTGGTGCCTGGTCGAATACGGCGGGAAATAGAGATGTTCTCATCACCGGAACAATGGCTAACGGTTTCGTCTATGTTGGCTGAGAGTAAGGGAGCATATCACTTTCATGATGGATTGCTTCGGATTCTGGGTCCGGGCGAGGCGAAGATCATTGCAGATTTCTTCAAGCAGAGGCCCAATATTTCAGTTTCCATCGAGGCAGGAGTGTACCTTTGCAATGGAACAGACGTAGCACTTACAGCACTGCAGGATTTGCGCAACTATACATCGGTGGGCGGTCGCATCGACCAGTGGGCGCTGGAGTCGATCTTCTCGCGTACAATGAGTGGCTGCGAAGGCAAGTTCACAACTTTTCAGCAAGTAGCGGAACAGGCAGTGGACTATGTTCAAGTGCTAAAGAAAGCAATGCCTGACTTGGAGTTTGGTGTGATTGATGCCGTGCCGCACTTCTCCGCTGGTAAATATCCATCAAACAACGAGCCTCGTGTTGATTTGGGTGACATCCGAGACGCTCTATCCACGCTCAAAACAGCACTGGCTGGTGCCGGCACAGAGCTGCTATTCTATTGGGCAGACTGTCCATATGAATACAGCTTGAATCTGCCGGGTAACACTGGTTTTGAGAAGCTGGCTTTCATTGCCAATTATACAACCAACGAGCTTGGTATGAGAATGGGCAAGATCTTCAACTCGCAACAGGGAGGCAGTGTGTCAGACAAGATGTACTATGACCGGTCATTGCTTGATTACCATGCTTACATGAGTACTTCCGCAGCAGCAACAGACACCAGCGACATCATAGCCGAGAGCTGGTACAAGTTTCCAGCGCAGGTCATCCCCGAGACACAGCCGTATACATTCATGTACACAGCTAAAACTATCTTGGAATTGGCCAGGAATCACACAACACGGCCGTAAACACCGGAGTGCTACTGCGGACCCTTTCGTCATCGATGATTCAATATGCGTGTAACATTACTTCAATGTGTAGAGGATCTGAGCGTTTGTCCCACCAGTCATCGGTATGATGCCAGCAGGCTACTGCAGCACTGCATTGCAGACATACGATTTCCCTGCCCTGTTCACCTCTCAGCTAGGTTGGAGTACGGTCGCTGCAGTAGCCTAGTAAGGTTGGAGTACGGTCGCTGCAGTAGCCTAGTAAGGTTGGAGTACGGTCGCTGCAGTAGCCTAGTAAGGTTGGAGTACGGTCGCTGCAGTAGCCTAGTAAGGTTGGAGCAAACTATTAAAGTTACTTTTAAACATTTGGCTGATCCCGGTCTCACTGCTGATCCCGGTCTCAATGCTGATGGGCCAGGTCCGAAACGTTGGTGTAATGTAAATTTTGAATTTGAATCGCAGTGAGGAGACCATTTTTTGGAGTTTGGAGTTGAGAAGTGAAGTTTCCTACTTGTAAAATGATCCTCTCACCTAGGCTAATGAAATTCATATGCACCTGTGATCTGTGTGTGTGTGTGTGAGGGGGGTGCGTGTGTATGCGTTCGGATGCCTGTGTGTGTGTGTGTGCGTGTGGGTGTCTGTGAGTGTTTATAAATTATATGTGTGTGTGTGTGTGTGTGTGTGTGTGTGTGTGTGTGTGTGTGTGTGTGTGTGTGTGTGTGTCTGTGTGTCTGTGTGGGTGTGTGCATGCATTCGGATGCATTATATAATTATGTGTGTGTGTGTGTGTGTGCGTGTGTATGCATTTGTATGCCTGCTGCTGGGCGTATGCAGTCAATGTATTGTGTGCCTGCACCTGAATCTTTTCCTCCCATTCAACACATTCCGTGACTGTGCTGCCACCCTTATTTCCCATTTGCTCTGTAGTCATCCTGCTCATTTTTCTTCTATTTTGGTTTTTTCTGTTTGGCACGCATGAGCAGTGCTGAAACCGAGACCCTTGGTCGGTTTAGCTGCTCTTGCCCCGCCTCCACTGCTTCGGCTGCCATCCCTATGTGCATCTCTGTGCGTTTTTGCCCTCGTTTGCACCATGATGGTTTGTGGTTATCTTGTGAAAAATGAAAAATAAATTAAAAAATGTGTTCATGATTTGGAGTGCAGACCTACGTGTAAAGTTACAAGGTCACATGACTTGTAATAATCGGCGATGTTGAGATAGTCTTCCATGCATGAGATTAGTGTAGAGTCTGCATTATCATCCTACCCTCTTTGCCAAATCCGGGCCGCGTCGGGGGTCTTGGTTAGGCCCTGGCGGATAATGCTCGAAAAGGTGACAGATTCTGCTCGAAAACTGAGCAGTGAAATTGGCAGAACCATACAAACCTTATGGCGGGCAATTCCTCGAATTCTGCTCCATTTCTTTATCCACATACCAAACGTGCATGAAACTTACCAGAAAAGTACCGAATTCTGCCAATTTTCTGCCGGCATCGTCCGCCAAAGTCTAGTCTTGGTCCATTGCTATTACATGTATGTCCAGTAGGGTCCTAGGGGTATAACGCTGATCACCGAACTAAGCCCTGATGATGGCGTGGGACCCTCATCATTGAAGGCCTCATTCATTGTGACTCTGTGACAGTGTCCCGGATTAGAGATGGTGGTTGACAACTATTACTTAGATGTAGATGTGCACTTCATTGGCCCCCAGTGTGATCATGGTGATCCAGCTATGCTGGTCAGTACTACATCATGTCTACACAATTATGTTCTGAGTGAAGGTCGACGACGAATTCAATGGTGAGCACCTGGTATCAAGTCAAGATCTAAGGGACAGTAGAGCGGAACATCCTTCATGCCCAAAGAAGAAGTCTGGTCACAAGCTAACATCTGTGCAAGGAGATGCCATGCTGTCTCGGTGTCTGCTTCCTCTTCCTGCTGTGTACCAGGTGTACTGGTGTACTGTACTACAAAAAAAAAACGATGTACCTCTCCTACGGGCTCTAGCAGATCCGCGGCCACGAACTGGTGATGGTAGATCTACAGTACTTGCATGGCATACCATGGCATACGCGTTCCGACATCAGCGTCTGATCGTCCGCTCAGTCCACAGCTAGCTAGCTGCTGACGTGCCCTTTTTTGGCCTGTTAGCTGTTGGCCAGGATCCAGGGAGATCTACGTCTTCATTGTTCGTAAATCGCACCACATTGTGGCAACATGTCATCCGACCGTTGCTGTAGATCTACTGGCTGCGTTTGTTGTACTCGTGAGTCGTGTTGTTGTACATGTCATGTCTCGAACTTATCACCGGGATCAGCTGAGCTAGCACCAACAAGTGACATCCACTAAAATGCTGTGGTGTAGATTATAATAATTATTATTTGTAGTGCATGCAGCAGTCAGAGACTCAGAGTCAGTCGATTTTTGTCATTTTGTGGTGAAGTGGAGAAAAGAAGAGGAACGTGGATTTTGTTGCTGACTGAGTTGCACTGAGTTGCAATCATGAATACTCTCGTCTTGACGTTGCTGCTGTGTCTGGCAGTAGGCAACCCGGCCGTCTCCGGTACGGAACCGGGATTTCGCACAGCCATCACGGAGAAAGGATTCGACTACGGTAGGTTCGTGCTGCACTAGCCTGAACTGTTTTTATGTCTGGAAATGGAATGAAATCGGTTTGGACCGAGGTGGAAGATATTATTTGGGTGATTAGCCGTTCAGCACGGTTGTACCATGGCGGTTCTAAAGAGCAAACGTTGTTTGCTGGGTCGTGTATATGTAGAGGAACGCCGGCACACGCTGGCACCAGACAGACGACATGTGCAATGACAAGGCGGCGAGTGAAAGTAGAAAATACTGGCAATGAGTGGGGAAAGAGGCAACGAGCCTGTCAATACGTTTCCTCAAAATCGAAAAGTGATGACGAAGTGGGGCAAAAAGAGATAAGAAAACTGAAAAATCAAATAAAAAGAGTAGAAAGTGGAAAAAACGGAAATGGTGTGTGTGTGTGTGGGGGGGGGGGGGGGGTAGAAGACACCCATGTTGCATCTGGATGTAGTGGAGATGCGGCCCTTACACTACCGAATGTCGGCAAAGGTTTGGACTTCACATTGTATGTACAGTGCTGCTCAATGTAATCCGATCAAGCAAGTGAATAGCACGCCGGGCGCTGTGCAGACCTAGACCTGCGGATGCTGGGATGTGAACTGGGGCAGGGCACACATTTGGTTGCCGCGATCGGAATTTATTCTAACAGCGCTGTACGTATATGTGGACTTCCAGCCGGCGTACATAAAACGTTACATTGCACTACGAGCACACACTGAAATACAGCACCGGGGCTTGAAATGGCTGTAGCACATCAGGCTGGAGTCATCACAACACTAATCTTATCGATACACATAGCTCTGTGGATCCATGTACCGATGCGCACAGTGTACCTTTGAAGTACATATGCAGTGAAACGAAACCTGTCTAAGACGACCGCTCAAGGGACCTGAACTGGAAATAGCATCCCTTGGTCCTGGTTGGTGCAGTGCCGGGTCTTCTTGGACAGGTGGTCACCTCATCCGAGTGGTCACCTCATCCGAGTGGTCACCTTGACTGGTTGTACTGTAGTTACATTAACTTCAGTGTGCACTTGCGTCTGCTTCAGCACGGTCATGGTACACCTGCAGTATTAGCGTCCAGGTAGGGAGACTACTTGAGACCGTATTAGCCTGACACGATGTGATGTGCGTTTCGTCGCCGGATTTGGAGGCTGTGCATGATCCAAGGTGTATGGAACACAAGATCACAACCGTAAACTAAACCTGCCATGCCATTTGCAAGCATGCATAAACCGACCCTGCTTGCTCCAAGGGCAACTGGAGGGGGAGTGAAGCCCACATCATGTCACACCCCACTCACCTGTGTAGTCTTCCTAGCAGCTATGACTCCTTGATGGAGCACAGCCAGGTATAACCGATGCAGTACAAGGAAGTGAGGCTGATAAGCCAACCACACAATAGGGTGGCACTTCTGCTGGATCCGGGAGTCGAGGGGGGGGGGGTACTTCTGTCTGCTGGCACTGACGAGAGGATGGGAAGGGGGGGGGGGGGGGGCAGGGGGGCTGCATCAGTACAGAATGTGAACTTGTTGAACTTTCGATTCAGAGTTGCACACTCGCCTATTGACTTACTTGGAGCTGTAAGAGTATTTTTCTCACTGCTTTTCTTCTATTGCTTCATTTCATTTTTTCCTGTTTCAGTGAGATCGGTAGGCATTCCCATGTTGGAGAAGCAATTATCTGGTATGTCTATATCAGATCAAAAGGGCAAAGCCAGTTCACCAATAGGGAAGATCGATTACACAGTGTCAAGGTCAGCATCATGCCACCATACTGTTGTGTATAGTGTTTGTCGCCGTATTGTCCCATGGCTGCTTTGTTTCTTGCATGCCAGTCGTACATTCAGATATTGTGTGTGTATGTGTTTGCGTGCGGGCGTGTCCATGTGTGTGTGTCCATGTGTGTGTGTCCATGTGTGTGTGTGTGTGTGTGTGTGTGTGTGTGTGTGTGTGTGTGTGTGTGTGTGTGTGTGTGTGTGTGTGTGTGTGTGTGTGTGTGCGTGTGCGTGTGTGTGTGCGTGCGTGTGTGTGTGTGTGTGTGTGCATGTGTGCGTGCGTGTGTGTGTATGTGTGTATGTGACTGACTTTTCTTTCATTCTCCTGGGTGGTTACCAACAGCCAGTGTATGCCGGAGTATGTGGTGCGGTGTGTGTGTAGAAAAAAATAGAAAAATGAAAAATAGGGATTCATTGGCCAGAAAAAGTCACTTCAATCAGCTGTGTGGTGGATACCAGGCTAAAAATAGTGGCGGTCAATTCATCAGCCTTGCAAGCTGTTGAATGGTGTAATCCCAGCACAAGTTGCTATGTCTAACATAGCTGTTCGCTATCATCGCTTCTGCGATGGGCATGTCTGAGGTCTGAGGTGTGTATGTGTGTGTGTGCATACATGTATGTATTCGTAATGTATTCGTGCAGGGGGGGGGGGGGGGGGGGGGGGGGGTTAATACGATTATGCTGGGACCAGACGAGATTCATGAACACTCTTAGCACCTGCTGGTGTTACAGTTTTGACAATTGAAAACCAACCCAATGAATGGTATTGAGTAGTATCAAAGCAGCCTAGGCTCATCGCCCTGCACACACTATTCTGTGCGATGTGCTCGATTCCGCTTGTCATGCATGCTTGACTTTCCACAACTGTATTTGATCCTCATGGGTTTGTGTAGGCATGGAATTCATTTAAAAGTGAAATTTAATAATGTTGGACTCCTGCTGTGCAGTCTTCGAAATAACACACTTCGGGAGGTTCGAGTGTCTCGAGCAGCTTTCATTGCTTTCCCAAATTACCACGCTGGTCATTACAATAATATAGTTGTCTGATTACCTATGTATTCCCGGCCTGCAGCATCAAGGGTGGTACGATGTCCATTCCGAAGTCCTCCATTACCCTGGCATCGAGCAGCGGTATTACCATCTCGGCATCGGATGCGTCGCTAGCTGTGAAGGCCGATTGGCATTATCGCATGGAATCGTGGTGAGTTTGGCATGACCTTCTAGAACCTCATAACGGTTCCACTAGCATTGTTGCTGTAATTACGACCAGCAAAGCTACCGTGTTTTCGGGAGTATAAGCCGCACTGGTGTATAAGCCCCCCCCCCATTTTTTTGCCACGAAATACAGACATCTATCCTATATATCACCGTTAATTTCGTCATCGGAGTATAAGCCCCCCCCCCCCGTTTTTTGGGTGAACTGTGAGTGTTCGAAGTGCGGCTGTTACTCCGGAAAATACCGGATGATACCATCTTGCAGTGAGTCCTTTCGATTTTGCCCACGAATCGATGTTGAATCCATTCATGAATCGATGTTGAATCCATTCATGAATCGATGTTGAATCCATTCATGAATCGATGTTGAATCCATTCATGAATCGATGTTGAATCCATTCATGAATCGATGTTGAATCCATTCATGAATCGATGTTGAAACCATTCATGAATCGATGTTGAATCCATTCATGAATCGATGTTGAATCCATTCATGAATCGATGTTGAAACCATTCATGAATCGATGTTGAATCCATTCATGAATCGATGTTGAATCCATTCATGAATCGATGTTGAATCCATTCATGAATCGATGTTGAATCCATTCATGAATCGATGTTGAATCCATTCATGAATCGATGTTGAATCCATTCATGAATCGATGTTGAATCCATTCATGAATCGATGTTGAATCCATTCATGAATCGATGTTGAATCCATTCATGAATCGATGTTGAATCCATTCATGAATCGATGTTGAATCCATTCATGAATCGATGTTGAAACCATTCATGAATCGATGTTGAAACCATTCATGAATCGATGTTGAAACCATTCATGAATCGATGTTGAATCCATTCATGAATCGATGTTGAATCCATTCATGAATCGATGTTGAATCCATTCACGAATCGATGTTGAATCCATTCATGAATCGATGTTGAATCCATTCATGAATCGATGTTGAAACCATTCATGAATCGATGTTGAAACCATTCATGAATCGATGTTGAATCCATTCATGAATCGATGTTGAATCCATTCATGAATCGATGTTGAATCCATTCATGAATCGATGTTGAATCCATTCATGAATCGATGTTGAATCCATTCATGAATCGATGTTGAATCCATTCACGAATCGATGTTGAATCCATTCATGAATCGATGTTGAATCCATTCATGAATCGATGTTGAATCCATTCATGAATCGATGTTGAATCCATTCATGAATCGATGTTGAATCCATTCATGAATCGTCCCTGGCTATTCACATCACCCCACGTGACTATAGGGGGAATGGATTCCGCACCGGTTTCAGGGCTCATCATGAGATTAAACCACGAGATTCCATTCATGAATCGATTCGTGGCAGTAATCGAGCGCACCCACTGCGAGTTGATTGCGATTCCAACTTGTGTGAATTCCAGCCATACTGGAGATACATGAAAGCATGCACATGTGTACGTGCCAAGTGACATGTTGTGTCATTGTTTCTCGCTGGGTGCAGGCCACATGTGTCGGACCACGGCAGCTGTGATATTTCTGTCTCTAGTGTTAGCCTGACATTCAACGTTGTTCTTGGTGAGAATTTGGCCTGCCAGATCGAAACTTTCTTGTTTAAGCTGCTACATGTATACAGTGGTCCCTCTATAATCCGGCACCATTTGTGCCACGGAAAATCTGCTGGATTAGGGAGGGTGCTGGATTAACAAATCGGATTTACTGCTGCAATATGCCTGAAGAGGACATTTTGGCTACTGAAAATTGTGCTGGTTTATCGAGGGTGCTGGTTAGAATAAAGTGCAGGATCAGAGAGGGACGACTGTATACCCATTTTGCAGACAAACTCGTTACCTGTGTGTACTGATGCGCTTATCCAGCACAATTGAGCGCACGTACTGTGCATGGCTGAACTTGATTCATAGTTCCGAATGTAGATGGGATTACGAAATTATAGGCAGCCATTTTCAATTCGTAGAATGACTCCATTGTGCCTATTTGCCTGGCCAAGTCGCGTGGTTTTCTTCATGCCTAAAGGATAAAGCGGCTAGCCGCACGTACGCCGATCATACTCTTCAGAATAATGGCTCCAGGGTATTAGCCTGTTGTTGCTATCCAGTTTGCCAGAGGAACAGTGTGATTGACTCCTTATTCACCACTCGTGACCATTTTATGCAACAGTGTATGTTTTCTATCGCGTCTTCATCTCCAGGGAAGGATAGCAGTGGGCATGCTACAGTATCGGCAGGATCCTGTCATGCTGACATCGGGCACATGGATGTGAAGTTTCACGGAGGCGCAAGGTACATTGTGGATGCCATTGCTATTGGTATTGATTTATTTGAATTCGGTATCTCAACAGTACAATGTACAACTTGGGAAGATCCAAATGACATAGATACATAAACATAAAAGTGGAGTAGGTGCTAAAGCTGGTCATTTTATCTATTGATATAGATATACCGTGACAACGCCATCACCATGGTGACAATGGCAAGTGATGTGCTGATGGGAATAATGTCAGGCTCAACAGGCATGCAGCCCGTATGGGGCACGCGGGGGGGGGGGGGTACGTGCACCGCCCTCTAAAAAATTCGACCTACATGTACATCCGGCATGCACGTGCTGACCATGATGACATGCACCAGCCATCCTCCACGTATAGTACAGCTGATACAATACTTTGGTGAAGCGGCCGAGCACCCCCTAAGAGGGGGGGGGGGGGCAGCTACACCCCAGCTCAATGAATGACCCCCCTGCACACACACACACACGCGCACGCATGCACACACACACACACACCTGGTCCTGGTAAACACTGCCATTACGGCCACGTGTCCGCTTGCGGGGCCGACGACATGGAACGACGAGCGACGGCATAAAGCCGGCAGTCTGCCAAGAGATCAGGGACCATGTTCAATTGGCACGACGAGAGAGAGCCACCTTTGGCAGCTATGGATTTGGAATCCACGAGTAGAGCGGCAGCACTGACCACAGGCCCCACAGTGGGCCTTGCAACATGAGAGGGCGGAGGAGTCGTCTGAGCAGCAATGGTGGACACCGCTGCCCGGCATGGAGCCTGAGACGATGTCGCGGAGAGCGTCTGGGAGATGGGGCACTTGTGGACCGCCAAGCCCCCGGCACTGCGGAACCAGCGCTTGCAGGAAGAACAATACACACACACACATACACACACACACACACACACACACACACACATATACTACTACTACTACTACTATTGACAGCTGCCAGGATTGGCCACGCCGCTCCCAGATGGGAGGTACTGTCAGAGAGGTTAGGGGGGAGGAAGGCAATGCTCCAAGTGGCGTTCCAGATCTTGCCGCCTCCGGAACCGTCGGTTGTGGCCCACACACACATACACACACACACACACACAACCTCGAAACAACAGCTACGCCAGAATTGATCGGCCATAGGCGGTGGCTAAAGGGGATTTCCAGATTTACCACGAGCAGCCTACAGATGTTAGGCGACCACAGCCAGAACACCAGGTACACGTGTATAGTACTGTAGGACGTCAAAGAACATACAGGCTAGAATTTCACCAAGCACGGCATACCGATAATACAGTGACTCGTCTGTGCATAGAATGCAGTGCATGAATCTAAAAACAGCCTAGGCTAAGAGGCTGCCGGTCAGACCCCCCCCCCCCCTCCCGTTCTTGAGCACCTGCCAGTACTGTAGCATGGCTACTTTATAACACTTAATTTATATACGCATAAATAGTACACCGTAGGAATGCATGGATAGCTGTGCGCATACTCGCACTGCCTTGGTCTTCTTCTTCTCCTTGTGAGACAATGAACACTGATGATAACTTAC